TGATGGGTATTAAGGAGGGCACGTTCTGCATGGAGCACTGGGTGTTATATGCAAACAATGAATCATGGAACACTACATCAAAAACTAATGATGTCATGTATGGTGATGAACATAACATAATAATAAAAAAAGAATATAGTCAGTGGTATTTTGATAATGTTTAATAATTTAATAATGGTAATTTAATGAAATTGTGTATAGAGTTGTCAAATCACTCTGCTGTACACCTAAAACTAATATAACAGTGTGTCGAATATACCTCAATAAAAAAACTAAGAAATAAAAAATAAAATAAAATGTTCAGAAAATTTTAAAAAGATACCCCTGGGAAGGTCCTCTTCCCGCCCATGCGGGGGTGGGTTCTTAGATCTAGTTGTAATTCCTTCATCAACTTGATCCTTTGAGATGGTTTAGGAGGATTTGCAGAAATCAAGGAATTAACAATACAAATCTTTTTTTTTTTTAATTTCTTGTACTTGGCCAGAGCCCATCTATTTATTTTCTGTTACTAACTCACATCCATAAGGAAATTATTATTCACCCAGTATTCACACCTGTGTCCTCAGTAGCTAGGCTATATTAAGGTTGGGGCCGATTCTCAGGATGGGAATGTGTCGGCTCTCAGTGTTTATTTTCCTCTCTACTCACCCTCTTTCATGTTTCCGCAAGAAAATAGGCTGCTCTGTTTACAGGAGGAGCCCTTTCCTTAAATCGGGTATGTCTGGCTCCTGCCACTGAAATTGGTCTAAGGGGTCCACTGCTGTGTATTGTTGAGATTATGAAGCGGAGCGGCCCTCCAGCGAACACAATGAAAAGTGTTTGTAGGAAAGTCAGCTGATACCGATTGAGTGCCTTTTATGTGCCTGGCCCTCGGTATCCATGTTTTCTTTCCATCGGCACTAATAACTCCACTTTATTGGGGGAAGATGTTGAGAATCATGATGTTGGAAAAGCATGCCCGAGTTCACACAGCAAACAGTGATGCTGCGTTTGGACCAGGAGCGTTGGATCCAAAAGCCTTCCTGCTCTCCCAGGGGAGCAAAGACGAGTCACAGAGGCCTTATCCATCCCTGGTGTGTAAGGGCCAATGAAAGCTGGGTTTGAATCTTGGCTCCATCATAAACTCTGTGATTTGGGCAAGTCGCTTAACCCTCCTGAGCCAAAGTTTCCCCATCAGTAAAGTGGGGGTGATACTTACCTCCTAGGGTTATGGTGAGGATTTACCCATGAGGAGCTCTTAGCAGAGTTACTCTCACACACTGTAACGATCTGGTTCCCTGTGTCAGAAGTGGGGTGCACGAAAGTCTGCAGCAATCTGGGAGTGGAGCCTATGGGCACCTGCTCCCCTTCCGGCAGGAGGCCTTCCTGGAAGTGGGTAGAGGGCTGGGCCAAAGCCGGCCAAGCACTGCCGATGGACAGCTCTGAGCGTAAACCTTTCTGGTCTGTTCCAGAAGAGCCCAGAGCCGGGTATGGGCAGAGCAAGGGAAAAGAGGCAGTCTCCAGACAACTTGGAGAACACTGGGAAGACACTGGTAGAGGCTGGAGGTGAGGGCTGGGGCGAGGTTTAGTAATGTCCTAAGCCATGAGAAGGGGGAGCAGGGTGCAAAGCTAGTGTTGGGTCTGACTGGAGTGTTTTCCTCACACACCAGCTCTCATCCTCTTATCCATCCCTGGGAAGCTGCACTGATCCTGTGGAGCCCGATACTGCTCCAGGCGTCCCATCCCTACCTATAGGGTTCTCTTCCGGGTGCACATGAGTGGGACATTAATTATCGCATTTCTGTATATTTCGAATTTGGAAAGAAGGTGGCATTTGAAGGGAAGAATCTGGCTGGTGGATGGGTCCAAAATAGAAGGCTTGGTCTGGGAAAAATGATGGGAAAAAAAGAGTGGAGGGAGCCAAGAAAGGATAGCATGGCAAACAGGAGGGGTCCAGATGAGACACGCTCTCTGGTAATAATTTGATTGGGTTCGGAAGTTTCTAGGAGGAATGATGCAAGTGAAGTAACCCTGAGAATTTTGCCTCAGAGCAAGTAACTCATCAGTCTTTGAAAAAAGGCTGAACATTTTCCAGGTGCACTGCCCAGAAGATTTGTTGGCCAGATTTGTTGCCAGAGATTAGGAGAGGAGTTTAGATCTTGAGTTTTGACCAAGAATCACCTTGGTCTTGGGCAGAATCACCTTATGTTTTCATAAAGTAAGCCCTGTAATAGTTATTTCGAACCAGTTATAATCATAACGTATAGGGATGCCTTGATTAAACAGATATTTTATTTGAGTCATCTTCATAAAGACAGACTGACATGTTCCAGGCTGGTTCTGTAGTAACTGGTAAAAGTAATCAGTCATGCTCTTCAAGAATTACTCAGGCCATGTCGGCTCATTTCTGTTGAGAGTCCCAATAAGATGAGTTACTGTGTAGTTGCCAATCTAGGAATGCTCTCGTTGTTGCCGTGGAAACCAGCATTAAGCATCGCAGGTCAAGAAAGAAAAGAGAAATAATTGGTGCTAAACCTCAGTAAAATACACAAGCAGTACTACGGAATTAAAAAAAAAAAATCATCACAATATCCGGCACCAAGCTGAGACTAATCAGGTTCAGCACTAAATCATAGAACTGAAATCATGGAGACGTTTTCTCAGAAACACTGGCGAAAAACACGGCAAAGTCTTCACATACCTATCTTCACCTGTAGCCACGTCCCCATAAGGGCGGGTACAGCAGTGATGAGCTGCAGGTGGATTCTTGGACAGGTGTCACCGCCATGGAATCACTGGAAGTAGGAAGAGGAGCTGGCTCATCCCGGCTGAGAAGCGCCGTCAGTTGGGGATGGTGTCTTCCAGCCGGGAACAGAAGAGGTCACAGCCTGAGCTAGGCTGGGGAGGCAGCCTATTGTTTTTCCAATAGGTGCCTGGTGCCATCTACCCGGATGCGGGGAGGCTCTGGAGAGGGGGCCCAGAGCCGCTTGGCACCAGCTAGGATCCCTCCCTCGGGGACAGTTCATTAGACTTCCAGGTTCTATGAGCGTGGCCCCTGGAATTAGCTGTCTGTCACCTACTGGTGTTTTTTTTTAAAGTGCATTTTTCTGGTTTGTTTCTTTGAAGGGGTGCGGCATTACCTGGGGTTTTGGTATTCTGTGCACACCCTTGGTCACTGGAATACACAATGGCAGGGGCAGGGCTGGAGCTGAATGAGCCCCTAGAGAGCATTTACTCCTGTGTTGTTGCGCTATTGATAGAAGAAAACGGGCTCGGACAGGCCCGGAGAGGGCAGGCCACTCCTCACTCGGGAATGAGAACCCTGACTGCTGATGGCAAGCCTCAGGCTGCCTTCCACACCTCTGGCTGCAGGCTGTCCCCTCTGGCCTTTAACTGCAGCCTGCTCCTTAGCACAGATTTCTTTCATAAAACAGTTTAGTTTGGGGGGTGCTTAACTCTGCCATACAATGTCAGGTCCGGCCAATTAAAATATGCTCCATTCATTTTTAAATGATACCCATTTTTGGGCACCTGGGTGGCTCAGTTGGTTAAGCGACTGCCTTCGGCTCAGGTCATGATCCTGGAGTCCCTGGATCGAGTCCCGTATCGGGCTCCCTGCTCGGCAGGGAGCTTGCTTCTCCCTCTGACCCTCCCCCCTCTCATGTGCTCTCTCTCTCAGTCTCTCTCTCTCAAATAAATAAATAAAATCTTAAAAAATAAAAAAATAAAAAAAAAATAAATGATACCCATTTTTGCTTGAAAGAAGGAAAAAGCTATGCTTCTGTGAAATCCGATTTTCAAGTAATTCATTTAGATCCATTTGAAAATTAGGTAGGTTGTGCCCTTGTCAACCCCGAAGCTGCAAGGCTTATGGACACAGAATGTCTTGACTCAAGCTGCCCTGTTTTAAGGGGATATGTATTTAGCATATGGCCATATAGTATAATAGCAGAGCATAATAATAGTATGTATTATACCATATACTAATACAGTTATACTCTGAATAAGAAGGAGCCGACATTTGGCTGAAAAGTAATGTCAGAGCATCAATTATATCGCAGGTAAGTTTCACTAGTTTGGTAAAAGCTGACATGAATTGTACAAAGTAGCCTTCACGCGAAGGTGTCAGCTCCAGAGAATACTCACCGTGCAGCCCAAAGAGAAACCTTTGATCTCTGTGATAACCGTGGGAACGTGGAGATGGGGGGAGAGCTCTGTGATGTTGCTCAGCATGTTCGAGTTGTGGACACATGTTTCTCTTTTCCGTCTTGTGCAGAAAGACGGACTCACTAGGACAAACATGAGGAGCGCAGCCAAACCCTGGAATCCGGTCATCAAAGCGGGCGGCCATGGGACAGACCGTGCACGGCCCCTCCCTGCGGCCCCTTCAGGCATGAAGAGTTCGAAATCTTCCACCTCGCTGGCTTTTGAGTCCCGGCTCAGCAAGGTACAGACCGAAACACCCAGCACATGGCTGCTGGGCGCCCCCGGGAGCCCCAGGCGGGAGGACTGAAGAGGGCGGTAAGCAAGACTAGCAGCCTGTCAAGGTCAGGGAGGAGGCTCCCCGGAGGGTCCCAGGAGAACCAGCCCATCCTGACCCAAAGGAACAGAGCAAGGACGGGGAGCAGGGGTGCTCTGGGCCTGAGAAAGGAAATGTGCAACATGCTTAACAGAGAAACTAAGATTCCCCTGCCCTGAATGATGTGGACTCTCCGGTTAGAGTTTTGCCCCCAGCACCCTAGCAGATGGGGGTCCAGATCACCAGTGATCGCCTCAATCCTGATCATGGAGTTGTCAATTCTCCATCTCGTCTTACTTGCCTGTCAGTAGCGTTAACATGATTGATTACGCCCTCCGTCTAGGAGTACCTTCTCTCCGTTGTCTCCTCCCTCCCTGGCGGCACCTCGGGGTCTCCGCTGCTGGCTCCTGCTCATCCTCTGGGTTTCTAATGTCAGGTGGACCCAGGGTGCAGTTTGGGGAAGTCTCACCTCGTTTCTAGCTGCTGTGTCACCCCCAAAGCCTCCCTTACTATCCTGAGATGAGATTCAGAGATCGTATAACCTGCCTACACACGTACTCTTGAAAAATCAACGTAACATCCTAACTATAAAAGAAAAAGAAGAGGCAATCCGTGTTTAATTAAATAATCTGTATTTGCCTCTGCATGTGCTTGAGCGTGACTGCTGATAGACCTAAGGTGCTCCAAGGAGCGCAAGGATGGGGCAGCTGTGTAGGAAGTACAGTGTTTTTCCATGTAAAACCGAGGGATGCTCAAGGCTCAGATAATGACAAAAAGGTGCTCCCGCTCTGTGAATGTCTGCAGAACATGTGAGAGTTCTGTGGGATATGGGACAACGTCTGGGTTCCCCATCCTCCCACCCATTAAATACAAGTAGCACCTCCAATCAGGGGAATGACTAAACGTGGCCCACCCCGCCCAATTTCCAACAGGCTCCCTAAGTGAGGGTCAGCACTGGCCGAGTTGAGAAAAGTTGTTCTAGGTGTTAGTGTCTGTTCTCGTGAATTTTAATACTATAGTTGACACTTGAACATGGGTTTGAATTGCATATTTTCTACAGTACAGTACTGTAAGTGTATTTTCTTAACATTTTCTTCTCTCTAGCTTACTTTACTATAGGAATACAGTATGTAATACAGATCACATACAAACTAGGTGTTAATCGAGTGTTTATGTTACCCGTAAGCCTTCTGGTCAATAGTAGGCTATGAATAAAGTTTTGGGGGAGTCAATAGTCATACATGATTTTTGACTGCATTTTTGACCCCTAACCCCTGTGCTGTTCAAGCGTCGACTGTACGCGTGGATGACATACGAATTTGCATCTCCATCCAGGAACCCTCCAGCTGCTTTTGTGACATCACCACTTAGATGTCTAAAAGGCACCCACACGGGCGCCTGGGTGGCTCAGTTGGTTAAGCGACTGCCTTCCACTCAGGTCATGATCCTGGAGTCCCAGGATCGAGTCCCGCCTCAGGCTCCCTGCTCGGCAGGGAGTCTGCTTCTCCCTCTGACCCTCCTCCCTCTCATGCTCTCTGTCTCTCATTCTCTCTCTCTCAAATAAATAAATAAAATCTTTAAAAATTAAAAAATAAATAAATAAAAAATAAATAAATAAATAAAAGGCACCTACAGGGACGCCTGGGCGGCTCAGTTGGTTAAGCGTCCGCCTCTTGGTTTTGGCTCAGGTCATGATCTCGGGGTCGTGGGATCAAGTCCCGTGTCAGGCTCTGTGCCCAGCATAGAATCTGCTTGAGATTCTCTCTCCCTTATGCGTCCTATTGCTCGCTCTCTCTCTCTTTCTAAAATTAATAAATAAATCTTTAAAAAAATAAAAGTAAAAGGCTCCTAGAATGTAACATGTCCAAAACAGACTCCTTCCCCTCCACCTCCTGCGCCCCCGTGAATCTTCCCCTTTGAGCAACTTCATCCTCTTAGTGGTTCAGGCCATTCAGCATCTGGGGCCCTGCTTTCCTCACATGCCACAGGCCATCAGCAAAATGCCATCCCTTCTGCCTTCAAAATTGACGTCAAGCCAACTGCCTCTGCCTCCCTTGGGACCCCCTGGCTCATGCCACCACCTTCCTTGCACGGCCTTCCTCAACCATCCCTGTGCTTTTGTCTTTGCACCCCACATTCTGTTCTCAGCGGAAACCAGAGTGGTCCTTTCAGCACATATGTTCCATCACGTCTCGGGGCTCCCCATTTCACTCGGGCTGAAAAGCAAAGTCCTTGATATAGCCAGTGATGCCCTGGAGATCCCATTCCCTCTCAGATGTCCTTGCCCTCCCCTCTGCTCTACCTCCCTCCTTCCGGGCTCCAGCCATATGCTCTCCTGGTGCCCAGTGGCACTGCCCCTCCATGAGCTAGACGCACCCCTGCAGCAGCCTGTTTGCGGCTCCTCTGCCTGGAGCATTCCTCCCCCCGCCCCCAGCCCTGCACCTCTGCCAGTTCTTCTTTAAGTCTATGCTCAAATGTCACCTTATCAGATATCACCCCTGATCACTCATTGGAAAGTGCCCCTTGGGCCCCCATACACCCTCCTCGCCCTGCCTCATCTTCCTTCTTAGCTCTTACTCCCATTGCACACACCTGCTTGGGCAGCATCTGTCTCGCAACGAATAGAACAGGAGCCCCATGAGGGCAGGGACTGTGTGCTCTTTTGTTTCTTGCACAGCTCTGTCCCTCACGCTTAGAAAAGCACCTGTTCCCTGGCGGGCACTCCATATTTATCAAATGCCCAAGGACACCGGCTCTTCTGCGAGTGGCAGTATGATGGGATGTTGGAATAAGGAGGAGCACAGTCTTGGGGTGGGTCAGACCAGGCTGAGTTGGGATCCTGCCTCGACCACTTTCTAGCCGTGAAACCTCAGGCAAGCTATGTAGTTGTCCTGAGTTCTGAGATGAAGATAATACCTTATTTGCCGCGAGGAGTAAATGTGGACAAAATGTCCTACCCATAATTTTGTTTATCATTCTATTACCCTGGACTTGCCCATTATTTCCATGGTTTTTATTTTTATTATCTTTGACCCATAGCACATTTGGGAGACTTTTTTTTTTTTAAAGATTTTATTTATTTATTTGAGAGAGAGAGAGAGCACAAGCAGGGGGAGCAGCAGAGGGAGAGGGAGAAGAAGCAGACTCCTTGCTGAGCAGGGAGCCCGACGCGGGACTCCATCCCAGGACCCTGGGACCATGACCTGAGCCGAAGGCAGACGCTTAACCAACTGAGCCACCTGGGCGCCTCAGGGAGACGTTTTTAATATAGATTTTAAATTAATACATATACTTCAGACCATTAGAGCTTCTGGAATCTATCAAAATGTTTTTTTAAGCAGTGTTTAATAAAAAAGATCTAAAGCTCAGGTGGGTTTCCTAAGGACAATGAAATGCTGGCTGCTTCTGCCCGATAGGTAAATGTTTTTGGAAACTTGTTCCACGGGGAAAATGTCAGGGGAAAAGCAAATATCCATGTTGTCATCTCTGATGCTTGGGGTCTCCAGGACGTACTCTATAAAAGAGAAAGCGTTCGAGGGAAGGGGTAGCAGAAGGAGCCGTACCAAGCCCGTGCCTTTCTAGCCCTCGTCGTGTTTCTGCGTTTTGACCATTCTCCCCTTCCCACCTCCAGCTGTGGGTAAAGGATCTGTTTCCCTCCGTAGTTTACTATGGAAATGGCAAGCGCACAGAGACGTTGAGTGACAGCATGACACCCATGCACCAGCCACCTGGATGCTACAGTTGCCATCTTTACTGTATTTGTTTTATAGTAAGTGGATACATATGGGATGGATAGATATATTTGAGCTAGTCACAAATAGGAAAACTGAAACAAAGCCACCAAAGTGAGATGAAATGCCCTACTTCGAATACTGGCCCCAGCTGCAGGAGCAGTGTAAGAACCGGGTGAGGGGCGAGGAGCCCAGGTGGTCCGGAGGGTGTTGCTGTAGGTCTTCCGTGGGCTGCTCAAGCCCAGTGCAGGAAAGGAAAGCCCTGGGTGCTCGGATGCGGACAGGCCACTTCATTCTGGCCATTAATAAGGCCCACGTCTACGAGTCAGGATCCCCCTTCGTTGCAAATGGCGAAGCATTGGCTTGAGGAGCTTCAGCAGAAAAGAAGTGGATTGAGCAGATCCTAGGCTCCCATGTCACTGGGGGTAGAACAGAGGTACAAGACTGGAGCTCAGAGAGGCCGGCACCAGGGACCAGAACATGCCAGAACACTTTCTCTGCCGCTCATCTCTGCTCCTTTGCCTCCTGACATCTGTTCTCCTGCGGCTTGTATTACAAAGCATGGCTGCCAGCAAGCCCGCGCACCCCACATCCCTTGGAAGACCTGGCTGCTTTGCTTACTTCCAATTACCTCTTTTGCTTACTTCTGATTTGTTAAAAAAAAAAAAAAAAAAATCAAACAACAAGCAAAAAACTGGGAAAGGTCTCTGCTTGGCTAAGCATGAGTCATATACTGACCCTGGCCAATCTCCTGTGGCCAGGGGGGCCAGAGGCCCCCCCCCTCGGAAAGCAGGGCAGTTTAGGCATGTTCTGTATGACGCTTGGGGACCCAGCCCGTCTTATGTAATCACTCTCCGGGAGTCTCCCTACCTGTGCTGCCTGATACACCAGCCACTGGCCAGGGGTGGCAGTTGAGCCCTTGAAATGTCAAAATTAAATGTGCCTTGGGGCACCTGGGTGGCTCAGGCGTTAAGTGTCTGCCTTCGGCTCAGGTCACGATCCCGGGATCCTGGGATCCAGCCCTGCATCGGGCTCCCTGCTCGGCAGGAAGCCTGCTTCTCCCTCTCCCACTCCCCCTGCTTGTGTTCCCTCTCT